TTGCTGGGAAATTGGAGTAATACCTAATTATTGTTGAACACAATTTGTTATTAGGTATCTTAAAATGCTTTGACATAACAATAAAAAAAAAACAACAGTCAATTTTTATTTATAACTGCAATTTTGAAACAGTCCAATATTGTCTCACTAAAATATGAGGGACAAAATTTCAAGTTTCTTGTGGAACTGAACTCTTCGTCAACCACTTAATCACCGAATGCTCCCGATACACAGATGGACATAAAAACTTCAACATACCTAACACCTTAGACGCAGCCAGGCGCGGATTCGGGGGGGGGCTATGTGGACTGTGCCCCTGTCGTCTAAGTCACTATTAAAATACATTTGTATTCAAAATTCTAAAATAGAAAGGTGTATCTAACCATATTTTTTTTTTTAGATTCTGAGCGGAGCGATATGTAGTCGTAGATGATGTGTTTTTATATTAATTTTTTTTTTTTTTGTTTCTATCATCGCCGTATTTGGGGCAGTACAACTGCTTCCATTTTCTTCAACAATACCTATCTCGATCGATGGGAAAGTGAATATAGTTGGTGCATTCAGAAAGTCAAAATTTAAAATTCCAATAGTTTTAAACGCGCCTAGAATAACAAAATAAAAATTAAGGAAAAACGGTAATATGTTTTTGGTGTACCTATAACTCTTTCGATTTCTCATGTGGGCATATAGCCATTTTCATATTTTGTTGTAATTCAAACACGAATAACTGTAGAGACTTTAATTTTACACCATATAACAACTTATCAATTCCCATACTTGATAAAATGTACAAAATATTTTGACCTTTTTTGAGTTGTTTACGGACATTTTAATTTTTTTATTTATTTTCTTTAATTGTCAAAAATTTAAATTTGTTGGGTCAAAATGCGTCAACATTTAATACAAGGCTCCTGCTATATTTTTACTTTACCAATTTAATATTAATTAAAATACATAAAGTCAAAACATTTTTTATAATTATTTAAAGTTCGAAGTTTTACAAAATGTATCTAATTTTGAATTTTAAAATTATTTTGTAGTTAAAAATGTATAAATTGTTAAGTTTTTATAGAGAAGGATTGACAATTTAAAACAAAGTTTCACTTAAATAGGTAAATAAATTACTTTATTCACAAAAATATCATCAAATATATTTTGTAATATTATAGCCTGACCGACTGTCTTCACTCAGAATCGTTTTTCTTATACAAATATACAATGATATTATATCATTGAATTTAAATTTAATACCATCCATTATAGACTACAGTGATCCTCTGTGCAGCAGAGAGATACCCGCTTGCCACCTTTTTTGTTTGAGCACCCCCTGTTAAAATCTTCTGGATCCGCGCCCGGACGCAGCACTCGGACTAGACTCAGACACCATCTCACAAATTCTTAAATTCTTAAACAAAACTAATAAACTATACAATAAATTAATAAAATTAAAAAAAAAAAAATTGTAAATTGTATGTTATAGTTGTGTTATGTTATTTTATGTTAATTGTAAATTAAACTAATGGCCATTGTCGCCAATGTTAATTAAGAACAATAAAAAAAAAAATTTCAATTAAGTACCTATATACTTATATAGTTGTACATCCTATGACTCTTGTACCAGCTGGTGTAGCCGTGTAGGTACCACCATCCACTAGGTATATGGTACTACACTACCAGCCACCTAATTAGGTAGGTACCTACTGCCTATTGCATTCGCAATATTTATAGCTCGACTTATAGGCACATAGTTCTGCACCACCGACGGTAACCGTATAGACGTAAGTAGTCATTATTCGCTGACTCTAATACGATCACATTTTAGCCACCCGTCCTCTAACTATAATGATATTGATACATAAGCCCAATCTAGAGGGTGGGCATGTCCATACCCATAAATAGAGACTGCAGTACTGCAGCTAACGTGTTTCCAGAGTATATTTAACTATTTAAGTGAGCCGGGCTTTAATAATTTTACTACTACCATATGAATATTAAAAAAAAAATACATCTACATTTGTTGTTATAAGCATTAAATAAAATATTTAAAATAAAATATATAAATAAATCGTTGGTATTAAATAAAAACATCTTATTGAATATTTTTTATTTATGCAGTTCGAGCAAATAGATACCTAAATCTAAACATTAAACACTTTCAAATGTTATATTTAAAATAAAGTTCACATTTACTACACTGACTATGTGACCTGTGTGACCTATATGCCATTTGCGTATTGAATAAACTGACTTTTAAAATAGGTACAGTGAATAACTGATTCGGTTGAAAGCAAAATAACTTCTTTTATTATTTTTTTCCTCTTTGTAAATACTGCGAATTGATTATAAAAAAAGAAAATTTACCACAATTTGTGGTACTTCCTATGAGCTACAGATTATAAAACAAATGAAAACTGTGTTAAGTACTTACATTTTTTTTTTAAATTGAATGTATTTTAATTTTTAAAATAAAACGTGTATTTTTTATTTTATTCACTTAAAGTTATTTTAAAGAATATTTTTCAACAAGGACAATGCACTAAAGAATTGCAATAGTTTGCATTCTGATTTTAGTCTGAATAATAAAGCCATAAAGGTATCTACCTAATTTAATTATTATAACATTGACAATATAAATAACCGCCTGAGAGTTATAGAACCAAACCTAATCTATTGATTAATTTCAAAATATCGGATATTAGGTTTTAATTAAAAAACGAATAATCGTAGGTACGCTTGAAATTTTCACCCAATGTTAAAATTTCCATTTTCTATACATGATGAAGTTTTCAAACTATTTTGACTCTTTTTGAGCTATTTATAGAAATGAGATTTTTTTTTTAAATTTTGTAAATTATTTTTCAGTTGACAGTTAAAAATTAATAAAAGTTTTCTTTTTACAGCTAAGATTGAAAATTTTAATAGAAGATTTCACGTAAGTTTTTCTACCATTAAAAAGTTTACTGAAACAGAAAATTAATATTTTATGAGCGTTTAAACTTATAATTTTTATGATATTTGATATTCAGCGGTAAATTAACGAATTCCCATTAATCGATTTTTGATAATTTGTTGTATTTCCAAATCGAATAAGTATAGATTCTCTTCGCCAAATATTTATATTAGCATTTTCCATACATGGTAACATTATTTTGACTATTTTTGAGCTATTTATAGCTATGATAATTTTTTCAAATTTTTAAATTATTTTTCAGTTAGAATTCATTAAAGTTTTTCTTTTTATAACTAACATAATACATTTTAATAAAAGATTCCCAACAAATTTTTCTATATCTAAAAAGAGTGAGAATATATTATATTCAATTTGAATACATTTTTTTTGAACTATTAAATTTGATTAACTATTTATACAAGCATTGAAGCATGCTAGGCTAGGGCCTAGGAATCTTTATTTGTATTCAATGATTTATCATGGAATTCGGATATAACAGAACAATATTACAACGACATGCTCGATAACTACTGTACAACAGAATTGTACCCAATTGTCCACCTTTTTATAATATTGATTTATCACTAATTAAAAATTAAAAGCCTTTTTTTGAATAGGACAATCATGCACATTACATATTTTTTAGTAAGTGTAAATAAATGTTATTTATTAGCAAATAGCAGCCTAACGCCTAAACAACATTAGTCAGTAGATGATAAATGATAATATTTATATAATAATTATGATATTACTCGAAGACCACCGGACCACTAGATATTTGCATACTGCCATTACTAGCATACCTATTACCTGCATACTAGCATTACTAAAATATTTGAAATTGACACGTAAGCCATAAACACCCAAGAATATGCAACACATTATATTAAGGGTTTTTTTCACATCCAAATTGTTTGCCATTGTACTTTCATAAAATGAGGTCAAATGGCGACAAAATTCTATTTTCATTATTGATCACAAATTTCACATTGATTAAAATATTAATATTAAAATCATATTATTTTTATAACTAGGAAACATTTCATGAAACATACAAAAAAAAATTAACAAAAAAAAATATGTAAGGAATAGTATAGAAGAGGGTCGCCAATTCATTACTGTAATTTTGAATGTAAAATGAAATGTTACCAATGGGTTACAACTTAGATTTGAAAAAGTTATATGAGGGGATTGCAACTGGACAGTTTTTTAAGGAGTTCAATATAGGCAATTTTATAAGTGCGTATTAGTGGTCATTAGTGTATATGACTGTAGTGTATACTAACTTATAAATTAACTTAGTACTTATAAACTAATTTAGTTTTATAAATTATAGGTCTATCATCTATGCAGGCCCAGATTGACCAAATAATAGGGATTATGCCTTGGAAAATAAGTAAAAATCAGTATTAACAGTATTAGATATAATTTTGGGATGTATAAAAATATAAAATATGAATAAAAAATAGCAAATATATAGGAACATAAATCATAATTATTAATATTATTATTTTATAACATGTTGTATCAGATATTAATACAAAGTACACACTATGGAGGCAATGAAGACATCTAGCTTAATTTTTCATGTTAGTTATTTAATTTCACGTGTAATGCATTTATGATTTCCACCTTTTTTGTGTAAGGAAATATGGTCAAAGTAATGTCAATGAGTATATATCGTACAATGTATACTCAATAGTAATATTAACAACAATAATAAATCACAAAACAAATTATTTAAAACTATACGTAACTATATTATATTATTATGTAAGCAACAAATTCAAAAATGAGGTAGAATGTGGATATTGACATAATATTGTCTAATTGAGATCTGTTGAATATAACTGATTTTCATTATTGAATGTAACCTATCTATTATATTTGTTGAGTGTATTAGAAGTAGGTTATATTATAATTTTTTTTTTCAAACAAAACATTTAATAGTAGGTACTTATAATATAATAGTAAATGATACAAGAATAATTCTTACCATAAACAGCAAGTGTTTTATTTTTAATCAGCTGTTTTTTTTTGTGACTAGATTTTAAAAAAGTTGCTCTTCTTCTTTCCCGAAAGTAGTCCATTTTTCAGTTCTTTCTAATTGAAGATGGTCTAAAATAAATCATTGTAAAAGCAATACATTTATCAATCAGAATCTAAAATATGATATGGACATATAGTAAAAAAAGTTTATTTACATTCTACAATCTACCTTAACGTTGTCGTCACTTGCCAAAAATAAATTTGGTAAGACACTATTCAAAAAATTGGGTTAAAATAGGTTCATTATGGATCCACTAGGTAAATAGACAAAAAATACTACCTACCTATTTTATAATAAATAATTCTGAAACTATGAAGGCAAAATAAAATAAAAGATAAAATTACAAAACATAGAAAAGCACTACATCAAAAAATAGAACTTCTTCTCAAAGAGTCGTATATTGATCACTCGCAATTTACAATTAAATGAATGTAACAGTTTTTAGGTAATGAAGATATGTGCTGAATAGGGGAATAGCCAGAATTTCTTAAAGGGGGAGATGAAAAAAAATATTAATAAATAATATAATAAATACAATTTCTATTGCAATATTATATTAATGGCCCCTCTGTCCCAATGGTGCTGAATGAACGAAAAAAAAACTTTAAGAATAGGTATAAGTCTCCCAAAACCAAGCTATTATGGATGCTTCTAAATGTAGGTATCACCATTATTTTAAAAACATACATTTTAAATAACTAGTTTACTATTTGGTATATTTTGTAATCTTATTATAATATTATGTTAGTAATATGTAAGTATGTGTCATCAGTGCGGGAATTTAAAAAATAAAAGAAAGAGGTACTCCCAGACTTGAAAATAATTAGTGTTAATTAGTCCTTACAATGATTTAACACAAGTCACAACATACCTCATGGGGGATTTGCCCCCATATCTCCCTCACCAACCATATTCAATAATAGGTAGGTAGTAGAACTATAATATTATACCAATGCTATAGTAACATTTACTACCAATTAGGTAGAATAAATATTATTTTACTTGTCATTTATTAACATAAAAATTATTAGTTACATAAAAGCATATTCTTACATTTCTAACTAATTATGTATAATTATTTATAAATTGTAATAATGATAAATAGCTAAAAGACTTTGACCACAGACTAAGATAATATACTTATAATATTATTATCTTAGTCCGTAGGTACTTTTGACCGCGTTATAAATTATCATAAAAATAAATAAAAAATATTAAAAACTTAATATTAATTATTATTTTAGGAGTTAATAGATACCCTCGTCACCCCTCCCCTTCATTGATAACAACTACATGGTTTTTATGCACATAATATGCGTTCAACATTTCAAATGCACTATCATCGTTTCCTGGTTGAGTAAACCACAAAAAATATTTTAAACTAAAAAAATTATACTACAAATAGTAGTCACCACATTCAACACGATTAACTGAGTTAGGCAGGTGAAACAACATTTCTGGTCAGGATTTGCTTAATTGAAAATGTAGAAATTCTTTAAAATTCTTTAATTTGTTTCAATAGGATAATTTATGGATTATAAATTGATTTTTTAATGATAATCACCGAATAAATATTGCTACCTATACAAAATTAAATTCGCTCTTACAAATGACATTGATGTGACAGTTGTTCTAGTTGCACCACTTGCTAGTGAATGCAGAGTGGTGACTACAATAGGCACTGTAGTAAATGTAGGGTGAAAAATATGAATTGTATGTGCTTAAAACATATTGTCCTCATAGCCCATAGGTATTAAATTATATTATTATTATTATTTCCTATTCACAGTGAAATTTGAAAAATATTTAGCCTAAATTAAGCTAATTATACCATGAAGCAATTTATACCGTTTTAAACCGTCTATGTAAAGACTACAATAATATAATATAATTATTAAATATTATTATAATATTTAATAATGTGATATAAGTATCGAGTATGCAATGTTTTTGGTAAAAACTATTTAAATATTCCATACCTACTTAATGAAAAATAAATTGTTTCATGCAAACCCCTTCCTCACATTAAACAAATCAATATAAATTGAATTTATTATACTCTTTTTAATTTGTAGCCACCTAATTTCCTAGGGACTCATTTGGGATATCTAGAGTACGGCGAGGTTAAAAATGTTGAATAGTTTGTTATAAATAGGGACAAATATCATAGGACAATTATTATAAATTAAATTTTAATTGATTTTGTTAATATGGTGGGATGCTTTCATTGAGCTTATGAGATTATTGAATTATATAATATATTAACACATAAGTGTATACTTGATTAACTAAATTGAGTGTATGTGGTACCATTGATTATAAATTAAAATACTATATTAATACTATACTAGTATTTAATGATTGTATTCAATATATTAACAAAATTGATTTTTCAAAATATGTATATTCATAATAGCTACCTTCAATGTAAGTTATGTCCCTTACACGTAGAAGAATGTTTTAGTATTTTCCCATTTATAATATATATTCATGAAAAATTATAAATTTATAAACTAATGCAATATCTGAGTCCTTGTTAATCAGCTAGCTTGAGAAGTGTATTTTTTACCACTTAATGGTTTCTATTCAAAGTTGTGATTTAAAAAACTTATCTTGCAATAAAATTATACAAATGTAAAAGCATTAAAATTGATAATTGCACAAGTGTAATGGTGTGAAACACTATTATAATATTTATACAGTAAAACGGTTATCGGTAAATCCGTTAACGGTCACCTCTATAGGACGGGCACTTCTAAATAGCGGTCATTATTTACAGTTCTTTCGGTGACCGTTATATGGAAGTTCTACTGTATTTTATAATATTTTTAATATATCTACATAAATACTTACATAATATAAAATAATATATTATATTATATTTACATAATATATTCTAGACACGTGTGTCATCTTTCATACAGCTATAACTATTTTGATAACTGAGAGTGCTACATAGCGTAGATTCTGACTGTCTTACAAATGCATAATATAGAAAATTGTGTGCTCGGCAGATCATGTTTAGCTCTTTTAGTTAAAAAATTAGAGTTATACAATGTATAAGTAAGAATATTATCTAGTGAAGCTCATAGGGTTTTTTTTATATAATAATTATAAAGCAAGTTAAGAGTATTTTAAATTGTAAATTGTTTCTACATTTTAAAATACTCATAACTTGCTTTAAAATTAAAATTAAAAAAAACCTATGTGGTTCACTGGATAATAATTTCACCTTTTAAATTTTATAAGAGCTCAATTCACTCTAACTTTTAAACAAACATGATCTGCTAAGTGTACAATTTGCTATGATATGTGTTTGTAAGACAGAGAGCATGCGTGTGGGTGTAGCACCCTCTTAAGACGACGTCGGACCCTCATGTGTTGTCTTCATAAAGCAAATTTTTGTTTGCCAGTTTGAATAGTGTGCTGTTAATTTTGATATTAGAGTGAATCCACCTGTTATCAAACTTTTAGGTAACAACATTATATGTGTTCTCTCTTTGGTTTTTTACGATATTTTAATTTTTAAGAGAATTATGAGCATTTTTAAATATTAATGTTTTACCTATTCATAACTCACTTAAAATTAAAATATCGTAAAAAACCAACGAAAGAACACAGATAATGTTGTTACTTAAAAGTTTGACAATAGGTTAATTCACTCTAATATCAAAACTGACCACACCCTATTGAAACTAATGAACAAAAATATGCTATTCCATCATATGTGTGTAAGTCGTAAGAAAGAGACAACACATGCGGATGCGACGCCCTCTTAACAAAATTAATAATTAAAATTGTCTGCTAGTATGTGTGCCGAACTAGTTGTCTCTTCTTATTATTATTTATTAACATCTAAATCCTCTCATATTCCCTCATTTGGTATTAATCTGCCACTGATATACCATACCAGAGATAGACAACATTTTAATAGTTATCACATATACCACATGACACAAATAAAATTATAGAAGTTTGTGACAAACAAATTTTATGAAATCCTTCTACAAGTTATGTACAGTTAACCTGCGTTTAAGGAAACTATTTGGAAATAACCACATTGAGCACGACATACACTTAATTTAAGAATACAACAGTGTTTCTATAGTTAAAAAGTCTTAAAAACTCAATAAAGTCTTTGCCAGTAAAATAAATAAGGAACTGTTGAATAATATCAAATAAGAAACCCGAGAAGTCTGTTGTAACTCTATTGGATAGTAGGTTTCTGAGTATACATCGTCATCGAGTGTGTCTCTGCTCAGAATCGTTTTTCATAAGCAATGATTTATCATTGCATTTGAAATTAACACATCTATTACAGTGACCTACTTCATGAGGATGTATACTTAAAGAGAGACTTTAATTAGATTATAATCTAAAACAAATTTTATATTTTAAAAACAATATTAACTTAACGATGCATGCTCAAAATAACAAATTAATCTATACAGATGTGGTAAAAACTAATAATATTATATATTTTATGTTACACCTTACACATAATACTATATTTTAATTTGAGTATATATTGTGTACATACAATAGTGGAATGATGTTTAGGTAACTTAATTATGGTATGATTTCACAATTTATTCACATTTTTAGCATTATGATGTTGAGTATATGATTATATTCTAGTAATCATACATAGTTTATATCATCACACAATACAATAAATTAATAAATAATATAAATAAAATAATAATATTAATTTAAACATTAAAAAAAGAAAAAACTTAATAAAATAAATTATGCTTTTAACAGTAATACATAAGACTTTATATCATTAAAAATAGTAATTAGTTTTTTATAATACAATAAAATATTTGCACAAATAGCATAATTTATTTATTTATTAGTGTTACATAAGTAATATAATTAGAACTACTAGAAAATGTTTATGAGTCATAAACTATGACAATAGGTAAATGGGTAAATGGGTAATGGACAAACATTTTTTTATAAATAAGCATGGTATTAGTAAATAATATATTATCACAATTAACTTAAATCATCTTTGGGATTATTATTTTTATAGTAAGCTTTCATTATATATTTTATTTAATATTAAATTTTACATTTTTACAATTTCACAATTTAATATTACATTTTATGTTTAGTTCATACTCCGACAAAATACTATATTTCGTTAAATGTTAATTAAACTATTTGCATTTTAATTAATTCAGAAATCATTTTTAACTGTAGATTGGTGGTTTTATTATATATTTTTAAATGATGTAATTAACCCTTAATTCTGTAATAATACGATTCAAGAAAGTTTAAAATAAAATTAACATGGAAAACATGGATTCATTAATTCTTAATTGAATACTGAAAAAAGTATAGATATTGTATCATAGTTAATTGAAGAAACTAAAAGGATAAGCATTTTTTTTTACAGTGAAAGTATCAAATATATAGTTATTCAAAACCATAGGAAAAATAAGCAAAAAAAAATCGAAACAAATCGTAGTATATATTTGATTATTAAAAACTAAATCGGTATCTAAAATATTAATATTATATTAATAGACAAGGCTGGGCAAAATAGGTATGCATTTAGATTTAACTTTACAATTCATGTTTTATATTTTGTGTACATTTTGTATAATTACATTTTAACTTATCATAATAATTAATGATATAGAGTAGCAGTACAAATGACGTTTGTAATACTGAAGGACAATACTTCAATTTTTCCCTTAGTTTATTTCCAATTCCAAACAGCATCTCATATAAGATGGAATTTTTGAAAAACTCTTATTATTTATGACTAGAGACCAGTATTATAAACGTTTGCATATTCAAACGGAATGTATGCACGACCACAAGAGTTTGAAATGTGGTTGTTTCAAATAAAACCGATTTCGGGCTAATTTTATTTTTTATTTTTAAAGGGTTAAGGCATATTTTGTTATTAGATAATACAACTTTCAGACTTTATAACACTCTTATTACATAAATAAATTATTTTCTCTTTTCTCTTTGTTCTTTACTATATAGATAAGAATTAATATGAAATTATCACAGACAAACATTCGATAATCGAAAATAATATTTTTTATATCTATAAAATTATAAAGGAAAGACTTAGGTAGCTACTACAGTGGTATATGTTGGAAATTTGTTTGGATATGGTTTATTTGTCTTGTTAATGAAGTTGATTAACTTTTTATATTAATTCAATGCACATTTTTTAATCCCTATACTGCATATTTTGAACGTTTTTATTCATATTTTGTGAATTTTATCATGTATATTTGCATCATGCCTGGCATCTTTTTGCATATAAGTGCATATAATTCTGGTCTCTACAGTTATTTTTTTGTTTTATTGACTATAGAGTATTTACACATAAATGTATAGGCTATATTTTACCAATAGTTAACACTGAATATTTGTATAAATAGCCATATAGATATATTATATTTATTTATTTCAAACACACTTTTAAAAAAAAAAGTTATTTTAAATACATTTTGCTTTTAATATTTTGAATAAATGATGAACTATTTTGCCAAACCCTGTTAATTAGTTAAATTATCAAATATTTTTATTTATTCTTTACTAAAATTTCACAATGTGATATTAATCCACATGGTGATTTAAATGTGCAATATTTTAATGATTTTATATTTTTGCAAATTAATTTTTTGAATTATAAGTTAGTCCTGGTTGTATTTATAATTAGGATTATATTATATTTATAAACATTTAGTCTGGGTAAAACATAATACATTCTAAATAATAATAAAATTATGACAAAGGCAAATAATGATATCATTGAGACACATATCTTCAATAATAATGAAATTAACTATTATTTTCATAATTGTTTGTGATTGTTTTATCAATCAAAATAATTTAAATCTATTATTAGGCGTTTAAACATGAGATCTTATGAGTTTTAAATCAAATCAATGATACCTAACAAATCAAGAACATTTATAATGGTTTATAGATACTTTTAAAATAACAATATTTGTGAAATAGAGTTAATACTTATTTTAATTTTTAATTGATATAATTATTAATGTTTATTTATATGCTAGTTTACCATATTTTATTCTTGATTTATCTTGCCAGTTAAAGTATTCATTGTAAATTAGTTTGAATAGGAAAAGGTGGAATATGACAATCAAACAACCAATTGCTACCCAGAAAAATGTTGGCAATCCTCCAAGACGATGTCCATGTTTATGAAGTGCTAATACATGGTGTTCATGAGCAGGAGCTAGAAAATTATTATTATTTAAATTTGTATTATTAATAATACTAATCGAATAGCAAAATTAGAAACAAAATGAATACCCTCTGAAACTTCTTTAACATGAATTGCATGTTTTAAGTCTTCCATGTGTTTTTTATCATAGGTCAAATATAATATTCCAGTTACAGGATCTGTTAGCTTAACTGGAAACGTTTTATACTCTGGTCTGTAAAAAATATTGTTTAGATATTTGATGTAATTTTTCTTAGAACAATGATTACCCTAACAAAACAGGTTCATCTAAGCATCCACCATCACAAGCATAATAATTCTTATCACTGCGGTCTATAGCTACAAATATAATGGCTTTATTATTTTCTTGGACTGAAACTGTCACATTTATATGAGTCATATTTCCATAGTTGATACGCCTAATCATGTAAAAAAAATGTTTAACATATTCATTAAAAATAGTAACATATAAAACCAATATACTAAATTCAATGTTATAGCTGTTGCAATCAAAGTGCACATTTTCGAGGTAAAAGGAATGAAACTTTAAATTTGGATAATTTAAAATAAAGTACTTGATAGATTAAATTAAGTATTTACTACAATAATATAAGTCATGTGAATAATGTGAAATCATAAATAAAAATAAAAAATATTTAGTATTGCCCATCACTAATAGTTTAAATAATAATTTATCAATGTTTCACATACTGATTGAGCAACATCTTGCAATAACATAGATTATTGTTTTAAATATGCATATTTTTTATTTTTTTTATTACCGGAAATGAAAATCTCTGTGTAAAAATTTTGGATGCATATTAAATTGCAAATGTTGGTTGTAAAATCTGAAATTTCCAAAGCTTAAAACCATTGCTTGAGCTATTCCAGAAGCTCCTGCATTAACAAGATTATGGCATCCCTGAAACGGAGATTATAATTAAATTACACAATAATCATCTATAATAAATAGTAAAAAGCATTTTATACAGTTGTTATTTATGAGGATAAATTTATCGACATTTACTTGTTTTTCCAAAGTAAGAATCCATAATGACACAGCATTGTTGATTTTTTCAATTGAAGAAAGATTTGACCATAAACCTACAGCTTGTCTAAAATAATAACAATTAATGAATAATATTTTATTTTATTTATTTTACAAAATACAAAAAATACGTACAAAGTGTCATGGTTTGCACCATAACAACCTTCAACATATGAAAGACTACTTGCAACTTTAGCAAGAACAGCAGGAGAAGATGTAATTTCATAGGAAGGTGCTCGAACACTGGATAGAACACTATACACAGTTGCATTGATTAAATCACCATTTAAAACGCCACTGGCTTTTGACATGCTTATTGAGAATCCAGTACTCCATAGCTTCTCCCAAATATCAATATGTGTTTTCTCAATGTTTTCATAGTGTAAGATTTTCAATATTGACTGAAAATTATGAAAATAGATATAAAACAAAATTACACAAGAATTAAAAATAACAATAATAAAAATAATAATCAAACTTACTTCAATTGATTTTTTTTCTAAAGTTGACCTAACTCCAGTAAACTCTAAGGAATTTTTCAAAGCCAAATATTCAATTGAAATAATAATACGTAATTTAAATATACTATGTGGTGCAACCTATGAAGATAACCATTATAAATATTTCACAATTATTTAGGTAGTTATTTATATCGCATAAATATTGAATACTTTTTAATTTACCTTAACATTTATTGGAAATTGAGAGTATGTTATCGAAACACCATAAATTGGGTTTTCAGATGTTGATGTACTAATACCAGATTCAACTATATAACTTTCAGTCTGGTCAGCTAATCTAGAGTAATATGATAAAACAATTTATTTATTTGAATATGAGTTTATAAACCAACTTACTTTATGGGGCGTGTGCTATACATTGACCAACCATGTTTATGAGAGTGTTGCTTAAGTTTAGCGTACAGTACATAATCTGTAGGATTTGTTAGTTCTATATCCTGAACAAGAATTGTTGGTAAGGCTCGGAATGCAAAGTATTTAATACTACTTTGGAGTCTGTTGGAAAAACATTCGTATCGGTACGCTATACCATTTTTATAATTGACAACTGTAGCCAATTGTGATGGAGCTTCAATATCTATTTTGATTACTGGATACCAATAAATAGGTATTGACAATGCTCTGTTGCCTTTTATATAGATTGGAGAATCATAATCAAGTGTCATTCCGAAATAACCATTTCCTATAAATTCTTTGTATGGTTTTTCATCAGTATCCAGTGGCTCGTGCTTAATGTTTGCATCAAACATATCATAAGCTTGTTTATGAAAAGATAGCTTCTCAAATAGACCATTTTTCATAAATAATTCATCTATATATAAAAAAAAAATATAAATTTATTTTTAGAGTATTTGATTGAAAATAATATATTGATGTATCAATTTATTAATAAAATTAATATTGTTGATAAAGTAATCCGCTTATAACAATTTTCATGGGAACTAGAGAATCAAATTGTTATATCCACACACCTCGAACATGTCATAATTATGATTAGACTAAAAACTTTGGACATATTTTTATATTTAAAATATGAATTAATTTAATATTTGTTAGGTTTAAAACTGCAGAAATAGTAAGGTGCATTTTAAAATTTGTTAAATATTGATTGTGTTTGTATAACACATTTTATAGAATGTATTCCAGTGCATAGTTATTAATTAGAAATTATATATAAAATGGTTTTATATGCACGGATTACACACATTTTTACTGGTAAATAACATAACTCAAACTATTGCAACAAGTGAATATTCATTTTTTACCCCATCATATAAATAAGTATGGCACCGGTCCAATGTGCGACCTACAACTGATAATTGACCTATCCTTATCTTTGCCGGGCTAATGTGCGACCTACGGCCAATGTGTGTATTTTCCTATAATTAAAAATGAAGTAGAACTAGGAAGTATAATCCATAGTGATGAATGGATAGCTTATTCGTCATTAAACAATGAAGGGTACATACACAGTACTGTGAATCATCAAAAATGGTTTATTGATCCTGATACAAATGTCAATACCCAAACCATAGAATGTTTGTGGAAAATAGTGAAAAAGCGATATGAAATAAGAGTAAACGGCGCATCTCCATTATTACCGAGACAACTTAAAGAGGAGTGGTGGAGATCTCTTAACCCAAACATGCAAACTATATTTGACGGATTTTTATCAGACATGAAAGATGTTTTTATGACATAAATTATACATAAAATTACGATGAATTCTTATCAAACAAGAAGGATAATTAATTATAAAATAATAATTTTAAATGAATTAATAACTATAATAACTATTAATATTTATAAATTTAAAGGATAAAATAATTAATTAATTAATAACTATTAAAAATGCAGTATAGGTCAATACCTATACATAGGTCGCACACTGGGCCGAAAATGTATGTGTAGGTCGCACATTGGACCGTTGCCATAAGTATTTAAAAAATGTTATAAATTGTATTTAAAACTTTTGCAACCTAAGGGTGGTTTAGGATTAATAATACCTACCATATACCTTAAATCGTAGGCGGAAAAAAAGCCCAAAAAAATAAACATACCATGGAAAAAAAGCCCAGAAATATAAATATAAATGTGAAGACATGTATACTCTACTCCAAATTACTAATTACTATGTAAATATAATAAAATCTAATAATATACCATAATGAAAAATAATAATTAATTGTTAATTGTATAAAATATAGATTGTATGACTCATGATTTATTGTGTTAAAAGTTATGAGTCAAAAAACATCAGTCTTAAGTATATACAATTATTTATATTTGAAATTTTAAGATTTTCTTTTATTTCTTTTAAATAAGAGTATCCATATATAAAATTGCCTATACTGGCCTCTTATATAATTAACAATTATCTTATATAACTAGTTATTATTATTTTTGATTATTATCTGTTATACGAGTATATGTATAATGTATATAATACCTAAGACTGGTGTTTTTGTACATATTGTGTTCATATTTATATTTTTATTTGATTTACAATGTATATTTTATGCAATTAACAATTAGTTATTATTTTCATTAAAATATATTATTATATTTTGTTATAGGTACCTACATAGTAATTACTAATTAGGAGTAGAATATACATGTGTTCACATTTATATTTATATTTCTAGGCTTTTCTTCTGCGATTCATCTAAAAGATAAACATTACATTAGTTTATATAAAAAGAAACAATTGAATAATAATTGTACGGTATTGTTTATATTACTTAACCCGGCGTTAGTCACGATATGTTCAAAATTACTGCACTTTTTTAACATCTTTAATAAAATATATACAATAGGTATTTTAATCATTGATACTCAATATACCTTTTAAGCATGTTATTGAAAATAATATAATAATATTGTAAATGAGTACATTTACCTACCTATATAGATTCAACGAAAGTAGAAGTGATAGATGATTCATAATATATGTATAAATTTAAATAAAACTCGTACATTTCTATTTTTTTTAATATTACCCATTTGATGTAAGGGAGTAACTTTTTGTTACAATTTTATTTTTTGTAATTGAATGAAATATTAATTTGTTTTAATAAAATGAATAAAAATTAATGAAATGTTTTATATTCTGGAATATAATCATTTAATCAATTAATATATTCATATATTCATATAAATTAGTTCTCAAATTTTAGGAAATGTTAATAATATTTATGGGCATCTACCAAGAATACTTATTCAATTAGTATATTTTACTAATACATTTTATTCATATGTATACTGTACACACAATTTATGATTAGATATAAATAAAAACGTACCGTACTCTAGACTTCTGTTGTTGGATGATCTCCAGTAAGGACTAAGATAAAATATTAAAGTGACTATAAAAGTGACCACAATGGCGATTTTCTTTGATCTGTAATTAGGTACAATGCACAGTTGTTAATTTATTGACAGACACATGTTAGCTCGAATTAACTACTGCTTACATTTTAATTTTTTCTAAACTCCTTCTCAACCGGTACAGGAAATCTCTAGGACTCATGTTGTTGCAATGTGTATGTGTGTGAAATAGCAACAACAACAACAACAGTAATTAACCAGACTATAGGTGCACTTAGATACAATATTACAGATACATGCTCGCATCACACACAGTAAACAAAACAATGTATTGGCAAATACCTGTGTAAGTGCGTAACTAGATACCTATAATGCCAATATTATGGTTTCACATTGTTCTCACTACCTATTTATTGATAGAAACATTTTAGACGTCCATCAAAATTTCACGAAACACAAATAATAATAAAAGTCGTAGACACTCTCCGTACATAAATTATTCCGGTGTTTAATGATACTGTTATCTCAATGAGTGACCGATAAGATAATAACTTCTTCTTATCACTTGTGTAGTCGTATATTATTATTATAAAGATATGAGCGTGCGGAAGAGAGTAGGCACCTATAATATTAATATTATATTATTTTCTTGTTTAATATTTATGTCTGTGAATATAACTCATTAACTCCCGTACATAAAATGCGATTTGCGACTTATCACTTCCACCATCCTGAGTAACAATTAATACCAAATATTATTAAAATTTCCGATAAAGTTATGCTACCTGCCTACCTACAATATCGTGTTTAATGTACCTATAGGTAAATTATTTAATAAGAATAAAATATTATACCTATTATAATATAATCTAATATTTATGCAATTTAAAAAAATTTTTTTTTTTTTTTAAATGTCGTTTATTTATGAAAATTTACAATCTATACAAAAATGGTACAATAAGTAAATGTGAATAATGATTAAAAGTGGCAATGAGGGGAGTACAATGAGTAGACGTTTCACATTAGAAATTCTTACGTGGGAGGTAATTTAGGGAGAAATAGTAATATTCATGATTAATGATTTAATGTACGTTGAGAAGATCTCTGGGCCGTAGAAAAAAAAATATATTTATTGAAATTTACTTATGTTTTTTTAAACGGAATTAATTAGGTAGTAGGCATGATATAACAATAAGCAATGGTGTAGGTATTGGTAAATATATTTATGGGTAATGGGTAAGGTATACTCACTAATAAAATATGTATGTAACCTAAAAAAATTGTTTTCACTCCCCTCGAAAAACATTCATTAATCCTTAATACGTTTAGAACTTCTAATTAATATTACGTTTACGTTCAAATTAGGTATATTATAATAACAAATAACATTATAGAAATTCAATTTGTAGGTGCATAGCTTTTAACTTTATTTTATTAATTTTTTAATAATAAAACAATAAGAAACAAAACAAAAACAACATGAATGTCGAAAAAATAAAATAATAATAAATAACTAAAAATAAATAAAACAACATTATATTAAATTAAGAATATTAATATTAGTATTATACAATCTATTATAGAATTGTGCACAAAGATGTTTTGTACTCAATATTATGTTTATCGGTGTTCAATATCTTAGTTCTAGTATCATCAGCAGCTCTATGTTGGCTAATAATTAGCCATGATGACTTAACATATACATCTTAGTTCCATTGATTCAGAGGTGGACCATTTACATTTAAAAACTAACAAATCAAATTATTTGAATTTAAAATTTAAAACGGACACCAGTCTTTTTCAATACACCTTACGGTTTATACATTTTACACTCTTGTAGTTTCTTGAAAGTTTAAATTGTTTAATACATACATTTTAGAGAAAATACCCATTATTGCAGTATCAATAATTTATAAATAAATATATAAATAATAAATAAACCAAAAATAATAAGCCATTCAACTGGCCCATGCCTGATAAACACGTAGTGTCAGTGGTTACCACTTACCAGCATACAACCCAGCAAAAAACTCGTTTTCGCGTTTACAGGTTTACTAAATTGAACTTAAAATACATTATCGTATCTTCAATACCTACTTCTCTATAGTTAAATAATTCATTAAAACATCATAAAAATTTTTCCTATTATCTAATATTTAATAAATACATTTTAACTTTTATTTGGTTTTCGGGTTATTTTAGGAGCGTATACCCGTAAAATGAGATTTTACATTGGGTACCTTACGCCGAAAATCGAAAATCTGCCGACGGGTATATGGCGTATCCGTACCTACTAATACACCCCTGGGCCCTGACAAAGTAATAACTATAAATCGGGGCTTGCAAACGTTATAATAACGTTATGATTATATCGTTAAATTTGAAAAATAACGGTTGAAATTTGTAAAATGTAATTATAACGGAAAGCGATAATCAAAAAGTATTAAATACCTCAAAACAAAGTATAACGAATAACAAAATATATAATATATCATTAAACAAAAAAATATCGCAAAACGTAATTTATAGAATATCATTAAACGAAAAATAACGCAAAACGAAAATATTTGAAAATTTAAAATCCATTTATTTAAAAGTAAGGTATATTGATTTCGTAGAAATATATTTTATTTCATACTATTTATTTTTGTCTTGGAAAAAAATCTAAGAATTGATTATATTATATTCCGTATCCGGGACATTACCTACCCACATTTGTTGGAGTTATTGATAAATTATAAACTGAATTGCCACTAGCAAATACCTACCTAGTATAACAATAATTATTATAATTATTAATAATAATTAATGATGCCACGATATGTGCGTTGTAGAACTGTAGAAGTATAGAGTATAGACTTATTTTGGATTCACTCTGTACTTTGTCTACTCTGTTGTCTGTACTACTGCGATCCTCTTATGAGTGTTTAAGTATATAGTATATACTGTTGTTAAAACATCAGTTTTATTTATATTAGCAACATATTAAAACAAATAACGCAGTTATGGGTAGAAGTGTAGAACAATTTTTTAACCCAGTACCGAAATGCAAAGGTGGGCATTAACTTGTTAAAAAGTTAATTTTTTTTTAACTTTTTAACTTAACTAGTTAATTATTTTTGTCTTTGGGCTTAATAACTTATTCAGTTAAAATTTCCAACTCAATTATATAAAATACCTAGGTGTTAGGTATATAGAATACCATTTATACCAATATTAAATATTAATAAAATAATTTTCTGGTAATTATGTTGAAAAAAATTAACTAGTAAATTAGTTAATGCATTGTTGGAAAATGCTGGGTAAAATAACGTTTTTATTCTAAATAACAATAAACGCTAAACTTGAATAACGTTTTAATTGTAAATAACGTAAAACGAAATTTTTTTTAAATGCAAGCCTTGTAGGTAGTTACCTATTATAGGTCAATTTTTTTTAATACCATAGATAAGTATATAATATGTCTTATACCTAGACTGACATACCGTCTCCACTCAGAATCATTTTCCTTATACAATGATATTATATCATTGTATTCAAATTTAATACCATCAATTATATTATAGTGACCCACTTGTAACCTACTGTACAGCAGAGTGACATCCACTTGCCCACCTTTTAGATTCTGAGTGAAACGATGAATGTATTGGTTTTACAATGATGAGTGTTTTTTTTTATTTTTGTGTCTGTCATAACCTTTTATTACAGTAAAAATTCTTAGATTTTTTTCAACAGTATCTTTTCTGATAGGAAAGTGAATCTAGTTGGTAAAGTGAATCTAGTTGGTACTTTGGCTGGTCAAAAGTAAAAATTTTCAAGTAGTTTTCAGAAGCGCGATGAAAAACAAAAGAAAAATTAAGGAAAAACGGGAATTTGTACGCAAAATCTGTTTTTGAAAAAACCTATTTTGGTTTTTGGTGCAACTCAAAAACAAAGAACCGTAGTGAAATTTTGACTGAATGTTTATATAAGCATTTTCTATACACCATACCATTTTCCAAATAATTTGACTCTTTTTGAGCTGTTAATAAAACGGACATTGTCAGCTTTCAATATTTTTAATTTTTTTTTCTATAAATATCCATACAATTTTATTTGTTGGGTAAAAAAACGTGGAAATTTAATGCAAGGCTCCTGATATATTGTTACAATAGCAGTTGAAAATATTAGAAATACATAGGTACAAATTTTTTTATAAATATTTATAGTTCAAATTTTTACAACATTTATCACATTTAAAATTTAATAATAATTTTGTAGTTAAAAAATTATAAAATGTTCAACTTTTATAGCTATAAGGATTGAACATTTAAAACAAGATTCCACATAAATAGGTTATAAATTACTTTATTCACCTTAATATCATCAAATATAGTTAAAAATATCATAGGCTGCAGACTGACCGTTTTCGCTCAGAATCTTTTTTCTTATACAATGATATTATATCATTGACTTCAAATTTAACACCATCCATTACACATTACAGTGACCCACTTGTAACCTACTTTACAGCAGAGATACTTTTTTAGTTATTTAAATTCAAAATTTGGACGAAATTAGATATTTAAAAGAAGAAGAACGATTTATTTAGTTTTGTATTTTATTTATTAAATATTATTTGTGGGTACTTGGAACTTCTAAAGTATATTATTATACACAATTAATATGATAATTGATAATAGACAAATAATAATTCAACTAAACCGGCTATACCGTATTAATAATTACAATATAAACATAATATAAAATATTTTGGGCCGACAAACCGTCTCTGCTCGAAATCGTTTTTCGTATACAATAATATTATATCATTGAATTCAAATTTAACACCATCCATTGCAGTCATCCATTTGCAACCTACTGCACAGCAGAGTCACACAGTACACACAGTTACCTGCTTTTTTAATTTTAATCGTCACGAATTTTTAAATTATCACGCACCTGCTTTTAATTTTTATGAAATAGGTACCTTGAATACAATATTTTCATTGTTGTTTGTGGCAAGTTGGATTGGGCAAAAGACAAAAAATATTTATTTTAAAAATGACCAAAAAAGAATCGAACTTTAAGATAGTAAAATATTACATAATATTAATAATATTATACAATATACTAGGTATACTACTATATCCAATAGGATAATGTTCATATTATGTACTAGGTATTATATATTTTATTTTTTTGTGTCTGAACGTCTGAAGA